CATGAAACGCTGCCACGACTCCAAAATAGCGGGACACTTTGGGTTTGTAAAAACCATGCACCTCATCAAAAGACAATTTTGGTGGCCATCCCTCAAAAAGGACATTGAAAACTATGTTGCGAGCTGCCCCACCTGTGTGGCTGCAAAGAGAAGACAAGGAAAATATCCTGGACTTTTACAAACAGTAGCAGACCCTCCTGCACCCTGGAAAGAGATTTCTATGGACCTTATAGTGGAGCTTCCCAAAAGTGCTGGAATTACTGTCATTTGGTTTGTAACTGATCTTTTTTCCAAAAAGGTTCACTTTATTCCATGCCAAAAGATCCCAACTGCCAAGGCATTGGCAAAGATGTTTCAAATACACACTTATTGCCTTCATGGAGCTCCCCAATGGATTATCTCAGATAGGGGTGTTCAGTTCACATCCAAATTTTGGCGGGCGTTTTTAAATCTATTAGGCTCCACCCAGAGGTTGTCGTCATCAAGTCACCCACAGATGGATGGATCGACAGAGAGAGTTAAAAGTGTATTAGAACAATATTTAAGATGCTTTATTAATTACCAACAGGACAATTGGACTGACCTTCTTCCTTTTGCAGAGGTAGCATACTTAAATAACTCAGTCCATAGCAGCATGGGGTTCACCCCATTCCAGGTAGCCACGGGCCAAGAATTCAACCCCATGCTGGAACTACCCACCAAAGAACCTGAAATCCCCTCCCTTAAGGAATGGATAAATAACTTACAAGCCATGTGGCCAGTGGTAAGATTATCTTTATAGGAAGCTAGAGCAGTTTTTAAAGCTCAATCAGACAAAAAATGCTGCGATCCTGAACCTTTCAAGATTGGGGACCGTGTATATTTGTCCACAAAATTCTTAAAATCATTATAACCCTCTAAGAAACTTGAGCCAAAATTCATTGGGCCATTCCCCATCTCCAGAATTATTAACCCCGTGACAGTAGAGCTTCGACTTCCCAAAACACTTAAGCAGATTCATCCAGTATTTCATTGTAGCTTGCTCAAACCAGAGATCACTTCAAACCTCAGACCCCCCCTCCTTCCCACACCTCCAACCCCCATCATGGTACATGGGGAACAACATTTTGAAATTAAAGATATCCTTGATTCACACACTCACCATGGATCCACACAATATTTAGTAGCTTGGAAATACCTTCCTTCCTCAGAAAATGAGTGGTTAGCCAAACAACACGTAAAAGCACCCACATTACTATGAAAGTTCCACCTAAAATACCCTGATAAACCATCCTGAATTGCAAATGTAATGCATGATTTTTGTTTTTTCCAGGTAGACCTATCTGTTTTTTAAGGAGGAAAGGATGTCAGATCCGTGTATCTGTCATTTCTTTGGTGGAAGAAGAAAAGGTGGGGGGGAGACTGATAAAGAAATCCTTTCTTGATGTAACCTGAATATATTTAATCTTATATTGAATTTGTATAACCTACACATGATACAATGGAGGGAGGAAACCCAGATGGCCAGAACCTATCACCTCTGAGAGGCACAGCCAGGAGATGAGAAGACCATAAAAATTCCACAGTGAGATGTGTCCTGGGAACCTCTGGAAAAGTTCGTTCTGAAAGGGGGTGGGAGGAAATTAGGTATGCCCTGGGAAACTGTGAAAAAGATTGTTTCTACAAAGGGGTGGGGGGGAATTAACATACTGGCTTTTGTTTCACTAAATACACATTGAGATAAGGGGAGGGGTTCTAAACTCCCTTATCTCTCCCTATATGCATGAGAAACCTTAGATGCTACTTTGAACTCCTACATGAATTGTCTCATCTCAATAAAGGACTCCTTTTGATACGTTTGGTTTTCAGAAGTTCATCCTTGTTAATTGAATGGGAAAAAGTTCTGTAGCCTACGTACAGGGGTGGGATTCAAATTTCTTAACAACTGGTTCTATGGGTGTGGCCTAATTTGTGGGTGTGGCTTGGTGATCATGTGTCTGGAGTGGGAGTGGCTTGCTGACTGGGCATGGCTAGGTGGTAATGTGACTGGGGTGGGTGTGGCCAGGTGGCCATGTGACTGGCAAACCAAATATAAGTGGTTCTCACTTAATGACCAGGTCCTCACTTAATGGCCAGCTGCTTAGCAAGTGTTTTTTGCCAGTTTCCAAGGCCTGGGGATCCCTGGAGAGGGCAGGGCGAGGCCCAGGCAGGTAGCCATATGACTGGCAAACCAAATTTAAGTGGTCCTTACTTAATGACCAGGTGCTCGCTTAGTGGCCAATTGCTTAGCATGATATAAGGATTGATGCAAATTGAAAAGGAAACACTGCAGAGATTGTGCACAAGTGATTTGTACCAACCAACACACTATGTAACTGAAGATGGTTTATGTTTTATGCTTCTGTTTATGTTTAAAAAAATAAAACACTTTTATTTAAAAAATTCATTTATGTATGCATGCAACTTCTTGTTACATTGATGTTGCTATATATTGATTTAAGCAGAAACAGATAATGTATAACATCAATGTAACAAGAAGTTGCCTGTCTCCCTTTTGGTAAGTTGCTTTTTTATTTATTTATGTATTTATTTATTTATTTTGCTATCAGTTTTTGTTTTTATTAATCATGAAAACAAAACAGATACTAAAGAAATAAATAAACACATAAATAAAAATTATTTTACTGTTCATCTTGATGTTTCTTCTTTGCTTAAAGAAACATCAAGATGAATAGTAAAATAATTTTTATTTATGTGTTTATTTATTTCTTTAGTATCTGTTTTGTTTTTATGATTAATAAAAACAAAAACAGATAGTAAATAAATAAATAAATACATAAATATAAAAAAGCAATTTACCAAAAAGGGGACAGGCAAGTTGGCTAGCCAACTATGCCGGGGTCCTCCTCAATCTTCTAGCTTGCTACGGCAAGGACAGCCGGCCCAGGAGTTGGCTCTCGACTGGGCTGGTGGCGGAGGCGGCAGCAGGAGATAGGGGACCGGCCCAGCAGGACTTGCTGCTTTGCCTCCTCACTACCAATCGGTGGTGGAAAGGCAAGGCGGCAACCCTTGGGCTGCGGTGGGCAAGGGAAGGTGGCGGGCCGGCGCCGGTACCCTAGCCAAGATGGCGGCTACCATGTGGGCAAGGCAGCGGTGCCGGGCCTGGGAGTCGGCTGGGCTGGTGGCAGAGGCAAGAGGAGGTAGGGGACCGGGCCAGCAGGAGCTGCTGCTTTGTCTCCTCACTACCAAACGGTGGTGGGAAGGCAAGGCAGCAAC